TTGAAGAATTTATTAAAATAGTTGATAGTTTTGGAGGAGAAGATTGTAGAAATTGGGCTCATGTAGCAAGAATTTTATATAATGCTTGTTAATTTCAAGTTAAATCTCCTTAAAAACTTAAACGTGTTTATGAAACTTTGAAAATTCCTAAATAAGAATTATCTAATTTTTAATTTTCAAAGTTATTAGAAATAGACATAAAATGTCGTGGAAATCATATAACAGCAACTAAAGATTTTCTTAATGAAACTGGTGTTAGAATGTCTTAATGTAGATTTAAAGAACATGCTGTTTTGGGTATTAGAAATACTTTGAAGGCTTTAGTTAAAATATTAGGAACTTAGAAGAAAACTATGTAACCAATCTTAAGTAGGTTTTCATATACATCAATTCAAATAATGTTTAGAGCAGCTGATTGTAAAGATTAGGATGTTTAAATCTAAGAAATAAAAAGATATGCCAAATTGTTTGAATAAGCTTATTTAATTTATGCTGAGAATCATTTTAAAAGTTAACCAGATTTATTTGATCTATTAAAACCAATTATGAATAGATTATAATTCAGAAGATGTTTATTTTATTTATTTTTTATTGATGAATTGAAATCAATTTCATTAAAATAAATAAAAGATGATTATGATTTAAAAAATCATCCATTATTATAGAAAACAATAGAATTAAATAAAAAATTACCATTTTATTAAAAAGTAGTTAATTTATGTGATAGAGAAGAGAAATATAATATGTATTGTAATTATAATAATAATGATGATCAATTTTTTAAAATATATTTAGATGAAAATCAATTAAAAAAAAAATAAGCTCTTTAGATAAGAAAATAAAATGAGAATCTTAAAACAGTAAGAGGAAAAATACATTAACCAGGAGATTAATTATTTAGAGGTTGGAAAACAGTAGTATTTTAACCAGATGAAGATATAATGACAATTGATAGAGATGCTTAATTGAAATAGGAATTGAAAAGAAAAAGAATGTAAGAATTATATGAAGTTGCATTTGGAGAAGATAATAATTGATGAAAAAAAATAATAATTGATTAAACAATAATATTAATAAATAAATATGCCTGTACCAAATAGTTCATATCCGATACCATTAAGAACAGTTTTAAAAATAGCACCTGTATGTATGGTACTCACAACTTTGGGAACATTATTACCAGTGTGTTTATATGATATCTTGTATCATTCCCATGAGAGAATCGATAAATTCTTTTGGAGATCAAGTAGATTTGAAAGATTCATCAGATGCAGAGATATGAAATTGCGTACATTTTGGTATGAAGCAATGGAATGGTAACCCAGTGGTAGAGAAAGCTTTATTTAGACTAGACCACAAGTAGCTGATCCTTGAGAGATGTGAAAATATATAAATCAAATAATTATTATGTTCATTATGTGTGTAATTTCTCATTTGCCCTAGTCTTGAAACCATTGAAATCCCATTTAGTTTCCACTCTCTCTGGCTATTAAATATGTGTTCCTTATTCATCAACATAAGCTATTTAAATCACATCATGAGCTCTGCAATCTCTACAGAATAAAACCTATAATTATTATTTTGAATTATACTTTAAAACATTCTTTAATCACTTATTTTGCTTATTCAAGAGTGCAATTTTCATTCCAATAATTACTGATTATTGCTTTACAGAAATAGCTTGCAAAACCAGTTGTCACAAAATTTGATTCCAAGTAAGTACCATAAATATCAACAAGTGCTAAATATCTTTCTCCATTATGAAATCCCTAAAATAAGGTGGAATATCCTTACAGCTATAACATTTTGTAAATATAATGGATTAATTTTGCATCTCTTTTTATATGACAATCTTGCTAAATAATTTCCATAATCTCTAGGTGATGGATGAACTCCATCATCATATTATAAAGCTTATCTGTCAATTTTTGCTAATTCCTTCACTACTTATTAGAAATCTGAAAATTCACCACTTGATACATAAATTGTGTTTTTAGAAACCTAAGCAATCTTTTCTACATTTCTATATGTAAGTTATTCATTTGTACTTGAATTCTGCCATACTCCCATAACTACAAAGTGTATCTGTTCCAATTACTACTCCACCATTATAAACTAATGCTATTACACTTCCTCCAGTTACTACAGGTGATGTTGTATGTTATTATTGAGCTGATATTTCAGAATTGAAAATCATTATATATATATATTTAAAAATAATTAATACTGATGTGTTATATAATAATAATCTATAAAATAGTATGGAAATCATTAAAATCAAAAAAAAATAGAATTGTTCGATTTATTAAAAATTAAATTAATGCTGCATTAATATAATATTGATGCCATTAATTAATTTTATTTAAATCTAATTAATACCATAATCTTAAGAAAAAGTTATATATATAAAATATGTCATCATTCACATTATAGAATTCAAATAAGATTTGAATGATTTTTATGTTTCAATTAGAGAATTTAAATTTTCTTTAATTTTACTTGATTTATTCTGCAAACTTACTTTTGCCATAATTTATGGATTATTTTATAATACTTCATCATATTCTTTCTTTAATTAATCATAATCATCTTAATAGAATTATTAATGTGTTTATAATAAAGACATAGCATTTTCAAGTATTTTTATTAAAGGATCTGCAGAATTTTTTTATGGTGATTGATTTTTTTTAGATACCATTTTTTATAGCAAATTTTTAATAGTTTTTGTATGTACAAGCTTAGTATCACTTAAACTTTTTTAAAGTACAGCATTAGAGTTTGGTATCATAGATATATTATCTTTTTATTAGACATCCTACATATCTAAAGAGTTATGATGATCATGATGAAATGTCTTATTTGATGGAGAATGAATGACTGATCGAACTTTAGATTTACGATGCATTTTAACATATTCAATCAAATTTTTTATTTAATTATTTCTATGTTATCTAGCATCTATTTGAGAAGATTTTAAAGTTTAAGAGTATTTTTCTAGAAATGTTAATTTGGAGCTTACAAATTCCAAACTTATTGATGATAATTGATCAAGCATTCCCATAATTTGCTCAAATAACATTCTATATTCCTAATCTAATTATGTAATAGAGCTCATGTTTATAATCGTTAAGTATTTTTAATTATTTTAATTTATGGATCAAGATCCTTTGATATAGTTTCATCATCTTCTCAAATAGAAGTTTGTAATCACTGAGAAATAATTCTGGGAATTAAGTAATGATGAAGGTCATTCTGCAGAACAAGAAATTGAATTAGCAAAAGAATTGATGATGTAAGAAAGACATATTTAATTGATTGACTAAACTATAAAGTAAATGGATTAAATGATTTTAGATTGAGGAATCAAGATAAAACATTAAGCTTCGCATTTCCATTAAAATATGCTATGAATTTAATATAAAATCAAGACATCATTGAAGAATATAAATAATATAATGTTATTGATGTTTCTGAAGAATTTGAAAAAATTGTAATTATTTTGTTATTAATATCTTAAGAATCTTAATACTATAACAGAAGAATAAGTTAAAGGATATTTAATAATGAAATTTGATGATACAGGTAGTTAAAAGAGTGATGCATGGGAAGATGATTTAGGTGAAGTTGTTGAAGTGGACAATTAAGAATTAGAAGCATTAGAAAAAGAAGTTGATTAATAGGAAGAGAAAATAATGGAAGAAGAAGAATAAATGATAAAATAATAACCTGAATTAATAGAATAAATTGAAGAAAATCATGTTGATCCAAATTGGAAAATAGATGAATCTAAAGCATTATTAAAAATTCATAATAAATGTATATGCACATTTTCTTAGAATCCTATTTCTAAGGATATGATTGCTAGTGGTTCTGAAGATGATTATCTTAAAATTATTAAACTTAGTAATCAAAAAGTAATATTTGAAAAAAAATATGATGAAACTGTAGGATTAGTTGATTTTAGTTATGATGGTAAATATGTTGCTGCTGGTATTCTAACAGGAAAGATTTATATCTATTTATTAAATGATATGAGTGAAAAAATACTTGATGGAAGTTAAACAGAACCAAGTGTATTGAAATGGCATCCAAAAGGAAATGTTATTTTAGCAGGATTTTAAGATTCTACTTTATGGATGTGGAATGGAGTTAATGGTGAAGTAATGAGTGTATTTGCTGGACATGAAGCAGAAATTACATGTGGTGGTTTCACTTTAGATGGTAAATTAGTTGTAAGTGGTTCAGCTGATCAATCATTTAGAGTTTGGAAACCAAATAGTTCTGAATAAATTGTTAAAATAAGTTCAATTTCACATAAACACAATTATCATAAGGATGATGTTGTATGTTTTGTATAACATCATAAATAACCAATAATATCTACTGGTAGTAGTGATTCAACTATTGCATTTATCAATTTTGAAGATGGAAAAGTATATAAAATAATAAAATTAATTTTTAGGTTATTGGTAAAAGTGATCCATTAGGAGATAGTATTGTTGAATTATGTTTTATAGGATCTAATTAACCTATTATTGTAGCAGGGGATATTTTAGGATCTATATATATCTACAATTGGAATTCAATGAAATTAATTGAAAAATTATGCTTGTGCAAAGTAATTTATAAATTACTATATTTTTTAGAATTCTATTACAAAAATATTATTTTATAATCAATAATTCCATATATCTAGTTTAGATGGTAAGATTGTCACATTTGATGTAAGATAAATGCACAATTACAATGTACTTTAAGCTAAATCAGGAATATATGAAATGATAGTTGAAGAAGGATGGATATTAGTTGGATGTGAGAATGGTTATATATATGTATATTGATTTTTTCTTTATTTTATTTAATAATTTAAAATTATTAGTAGTATTGATTTCTTTTATTAAATAGTTAAAAATTATATAAAGAATCAAAATATAAATTAATTTTAAATTAATAATAATTATTGATTATAATGATTATAATAAAAAGTTATTCAAAGATATTCATTATTTAGCTAATAAAGCTTAATAATTTTAATTCAAATTTTCATTTTCTTTTCTTAATTGTTCATTTTCTAATATATATCCACTTAAACAACCTAAATGTCTTTTAATAGAAACCTAAGAATAAATTATATATATTAATACATTTTCATCTTATAATTGTTTTAATTAGACTTTCAAAGATTCATTTTCTAATTAAGATTTATTGATCTCAAATTTTAATTAATCAATTTAATCGTTAGAACCTTAATTAAATTTTCTTACTTTTGTTTTTAATTCATCTATTTATTTTAATCTTTCTTAGTCTAATAAAAGATTTTATGTTTATGCTTCTAGTATTTATTTAGTATATTAATCCTTTTCAAATTTAAGTCTATTAATTTCTTATTGTAAATCATCAATAGATTTTTCAGCTTTTAATAATTATCGTTTATGTTTATCACAATCACCAGTTTTTTATAAAATAATTTCAGTTAAAATCTTCTATTCACAATCTTAACCTCTAAATTTATTTAATTCCATTAATTAATGATTGTTTTCATTTTTTAATTATTAGATTTCTTCCATCTTTGGTATAAGTAATTAATTCAATCTCTAATTTTCATCTATTAAAAGTTAGATTCTAGATTCAACCTTACTAAAATCTCTATCTTAATTCTCTTTGTTATTACATACTTTAAGTTACTACTACATAAACAGTCTGTTAAAATTTACAAATAAAATTAATCAACATTATAAATAAATGTAAGTAACATTAATATTGCACAATAATATTATGGAAGATGATACTGTCAAATTGTATATAATGGTCAAGTTCCAAAACAAATATGTATCTTTTAGTTTTAATAAATAAAAATATTAATTTATATATATATATATTTTCATTCACTTTCACTAGAATTATCTTCTATAAAAAACTATTAATTGAATTGATTGTCATTTGGATCCATACATTCTATGTACAATAGATTTTTTAAAAATGGATTTTTGGTCTATTTATAATATTTAGGAATATCATTTCTGCTTGTATAAAATCCTAATGCAGCAAATCTAGGAGAATTTTCTGCTATTTCTTCATCGTGTTTGTCTGATTTGCCTTCATAATGAATGACAAGATATTTAATTTTGCTTGCTTCTTAAGATATCTTAAGTCTTTTGATAGTTCCAACATTCCATACAAAATTTGGATCTCTTACATCTATTTATTATCCTACATCTATAGAGGAAACTCTAAAAATTATAATATAATTATACTGTTTCTTTTTTCTCCATTCCTTATTTTTAATTTTATCCATTTCATAAGTTTTTAATTCTTCTGGATGATGTGATTTGATAAATTCATGAATCATTTAATCCAATAAATAACAATATGCAAATTTAGATTTTCTCATGTTATCATTGCAAATATGACATCCTTTGAAATAAAGCAAATATTCATGTAAACATATTTCACAAAAGGTGTGTCCGCATTTTAAAGAAACAGCTGCCACAATATAATTTAAACATATTGGACAAATGAAATCATTCTTATCATGTATTATATCCTCTATGTTTTATTGATTATCATTATCTTAACTTTAGATCTTTAACTTTTCATTTTACTTTTAGATTTTCTTCTATTGCTTGTTCATATTAATCCCTTTAAAATTTTGTATAAATATATATATATTATTAAACCTTTATTAATGTAAAAAAAAACTAAAAATTGCAAAGAATGAAATCTAGTTAAAATGATAATAAGATAATAAGAATTTATAGTAACTTTGAAATATTACAATTGAACTGTATTTCTAATTTTATAAATATTTATATATATATATATATAATTTTTAAAAAATAATGTAACAACCTGTCCCAACAACTACTGGAGGTTCACTCTAACCAATTTTATCAAATTAAAGAAGTCAATCTGCAAAACCTTCGTTGATGACATTATAAAATCAAAGAACAGTTTAATCAGCTATGTAAAGAAGTCCTGTACTTCCATCTGCTTAAAGAGTACCATCTGGAATAGGAAGCTTTGCTTAACCAACTAATAATAGTCAACGCATATAAAGTGGTTATACAAGAATTCAAAGTGGCTAAACTAGAGTTGGTGGTACAAGAATATAGAGTGCAGCAAAATCAACAAGAAGTATTGTAAAGGAAATGTTTCATATTGAACCAAAAGAAATAATATTTGAAGATATCAAACCAGGAATTCTTTATGAACAAATATTGAATGTCTAGAATTTAGCTAAATATCCTGTCAGAATTAGAGTACAACAACCTAAAAGTAATTATTCTTATTTAAGAAAGCTTCTAAATTTAGAGCTGATTATGATATGTAATAAGGTATAGCAGCTGGATTAGGATTAAAGGTTTTAATTTTATTTAAAGAATCAGAAAGAGATATTGCTGCATTAAATTAACATTAGAAACCTCCTCCTTTTTATAAAGATGTAATTGTTATAGAATCTGATGAATTTAGAGCTGAAGTACATTTAGCTGCATATAGAGCATGTTCTAAATTAAAATTTAATGAATTCATTGATTTTGGATTTGTATAATAAGGTACAGAAAATACAAAATCATTAATGATTTAAAATGTTGGTTTTGCAGATGCTAAAGTTTAAGTCAAAAGTGATGTTTTAAATCTAAGAGCCTTACCTAATCTAATAACAATTGCACCTGGAGAATATCAATAAATTAGCATTATTTATAAAGCTAATGAAATGGGCAATTTTAGATAAACTATGGATATAGTAAGTGAAAGTGGAACATAAAAATTGGATATTGCTGCTTGTTCTGTTGATTACACAAGATTTTTAATGGATTCTAAAGGATCTTAAGTGACATCTTTAGATTTTGGAGAACTTTATATGGGTAAAACTAAAGTTATTAAATTAAAATATGTAAATAATGCTCCAAAAGGTCATTAATTTAAAATTATTACTAGAAGAGGTATTATAAATCCAAATGATGATATTGTTAATCTTTAAACTCCAAATGAATTAGGTATAGAATAGAGTGAGAAATTATTGGTTATATAACCATCTTCAGGATATATTTAGGCATATTCCAGTGTTGAATTATCATTAACTTGTATGATTCAAATAACTCCTAAAGAATAATAATAAGCAAAGAAAATCTGTTTTGGTGTTGATGTAGAAAAGGATTAAATGAGTAGAGAAATTAAATATTCAATTATTGTTTAATAACCTGATGAAGACTTAATTGCTTATACTAATGTTAAAGCTTTACTTCCTTTAGTTAGAATATCTAAATAATCATTATAATTTGGAGATTGTGATGTAAATGACAATAAAGATATTCTATTTACAATTTCTAATTTATAAAATTATCCTGTAGATATTACATTCCAAAAAGTATCTTGCTTCTTTTTTAAACCTGAAAGTGTTACAATTAATGGTTTATCTTAAACTACTGTGTAAGTTAAATTTACTCCAAAAAATGTTGGAAAATATAGTCAAAGTATAGATATGATACTAAATGATTATTTAACTATTCCAATTAAAGTAAATGGAGAAGCTTTAAAAATAGCTAAAAAAAGACCATAAACTAGAGGACCTGAAGCAAGAGAAGAAGATTTTTAAATAGATCCTAAATTTATTGACACTAAAGAAATAGAATATATTAAAAAGAGAAATAATGATCTTATTGAATAAAATCATTAACCTGGCAATATTGTAGAAGGATATTTTGAAGATACATAAAAAAAACCAAAACCTGCTACATAGACTAACAATTTCTTATAAGATTCTAGAAATAATAGATTAGAAAAATAAAGATAATAAATAATTTAATAGAGAGTTGAAACAATTACAAAAGCATAAGAAAAGTAGAAAGATGAAGGATCTAAACCACCTAAAGATTATGAATTTGAATTAGGATTATAAGTAGATAATATGGATAATGATATTGAAATTCCATATCATAAAGAAGGTCTTTATGTTGTAAAACCATTTTAATAATATGAACCTTTAAAAAGATAAGATGATGAATTAGTAGATTTTAAACCTGATCCAAAATAACCAGTTAAAAGAATTTTATCAGGAAGACCATAATCTCATAAATAAGTTAGAGATGTAAATAGAGAATTAACAGCAGAAGATTTAAAAAGAGTTTAAGCTGGTCCTATAAAGATTGATTATGGTACAATTTATATTAATACTCCTATGTCAAGGACATTCTTTATTCATAATAATTTAAGATATGCTATAATAGCTAGACTTTGTATTGATAAAAAAGAAGAACTTAAAAAGACATTTTAAGAACCTTAGGTTATTGATAGTGGTGAAGAAGGATAATTTGAAATTATTGTATAAGCTTAATCATTAGGATAATTGAAATAAACATTAAGATATATTTTAAATGAAAGACATTCATTTGAAATTATGGTTGTTGCTAATGTAGAATCTGTAAAATTAGAAGTTTCTAAAACAACTATTAAAATGTAATTTAATGAAGATGGAGGAATGAGTGTAAATGATTCAATAAAATTAAGTAATAATGGTGTTGGACCTGCATAATTCAGTTTTATATAAGCAGAAGGATCTAAATTTACACTTGATTGTTTAAGTGGAATAATATAAGGATAATCTAATTAAATTATTTAAATTACTTATACTCCAAGTAAAATAATGAAAGATCCTTAAGATACTGAAAGTGATGTAGTATTTAAAAATTAAAATCCTACAAGATAAGATGAAGAGAAAATTATATTAAAAGTTAAAGATGGTTCTGAAGTATAATTGAAATGTATAGGATTAGTAAGTGATGTAAAATGTGTATGTAAAAATACTGTAGAGTTTTAAGAAATTTGTGTTGCTTAAGAAAAGTCTTTACCATTTTAAGTTAAAAATACAAGTAGAAACAATGCAATATTTAAAATTTTAACAGATTATTTACCTATTGGTTGTAGTGTTACTCCATCTTCTGGTAAAATATTACCTGAAGAGAATAAAGAATTTACTGTAAAAATAAATTGTGATAAACCTATTAATATTAATACATAAATATTGTTGATGCTTAGATCAGGAAGAGTAATAAGAATACCATTAACTGCTTAATGTATTGTTCCTAATGTTATTATTACATAATAATTATTTGATTTTGGTGATGTTACTACTTTAGGTAATTAAACTGCTTTACCATTAACAATTACAAATAAAAGTAATGTTGAAGTGAAACTAATTGTTGATTTAAGAAATGAAGATATAAATCCAGAAGCTAATGAAGGAGTTGGATGTTTAATATTGAAATAATAATAAGAATTATTAAAGAATTGTACAGAAGAAGAATAATAAGAAGAATCAGATGATGATTTACTTTCATCTGCAAGAATGAAAAAGAAAATGATATGTCAAAATAAAAAATATATATTAAATATGACACCATAACAAACTGCATAATTTTAATTACATTTTTATCCTAAAGAATTAAAAAGATATTCATTTTAATTACCAATAGAAATTTATAAATTTGGAATTATTGATTCTATTAAAAGAATGGTATAAGTTTATGGATGTTCACCTAAATTTATTGTTGAACCTAAAACTGTAGATTTCCCAAGAAAAATTATATTATCACCACCAGAAAAAAATAAACCTAATATTTAAGAAATTTTATTATCTAATCCTGAATATAAAGGAATATAATTTAAAATTTAGATTGATGCTGATAGTGGTAAT